TAAGACGACCTGTGATTGGCTGGCCGAAGCATCCTCGGGAATTTCCGGGCAGATGTACGAACTTTCCCGAATATTTAGTTCGTTAGATAATTCATTTATAAGACTTAGAAAATAGATTTATATAGCTACCATATTATTTACAAGACTTTATAAATCATTTATCAAGCTATGAAAATAATATTCAATTCAGTCACACGCTTCGAGGGGTTTCAGCGTTCGCACGTGCCTAAGTAAGTAATTAATTATAAAGCTTTATAAATGGAATTAGTAAGTCATATAAATGGAATTAGTAAGTCATATAAATGGCCCATTGTGACCGCATCCGCCCGTCATATCCCTGATCATACAAGCGAGACACATGAATATGGGCATATTTAGACTTTTTCGAACATTTCCGACCTCTTCATATTTTGATCATTTTCAACAAATTTGATAAGGTTGTTTCCAGTGTGGTGGCTATTTACATTGGCTAAAACTCTGTGATATACCTGGAATGACTAGAAGTCCGATAAAATCCAGTATCCTCTTGTAAATTTCATATATTTCGGCATTTTCACTTTCTCAGAACATAAACATTACGACTACACATGCGTTAAATGGAACTACTTGCATATTGCATTAAGGTAGACAGGTACTTTACAAATTGGGTGCATTCCGTTAGAAATGTCTAATGAAGGTGAATTCGCCTGTATGTTCGCGACAATAACACTTATTAGGTCTTTCACATTGTGCAGCTTGTGTGGGAACAATGTTGTTTTTGATTCTGCTCATTTCGCAGAAAAAAAATGTTTATTGCATCACATGGAGTGACTTAAAGATTAAAATGAAATGAAATGAAATGGGGTTTAACGTCCTAGTGTTTTGCTCCGAACTGGGCTAATGAAGACGGGCATACGCCATACAGTGTGCTATGAGGGAAATTTTGCCCGGACAGCGGCACTACGGCCTACTCTTATATCGAATTCCAACTGTCAAGGGATCTTTTACGTGCACGCCAATGTGTACACGGGACCTCGGTTTTTCGTCCCATCCGAACGACTAGACAGCCGTCCTTGTCAGCCCCTCCGTCCTGCATCACTGACAAGGGAGAACCACGCCGGAAAATCTGGATGAACTTCCTCGGCCAATGCAGGGATCGAACACCCGACCTCCAGGCTAGCAGGCTAGCGAGCCAGCGCCTTACCCACTTAGCCACGTGATCCCCCTTAAAGATTAAAGTATTTTGAAAAGTCGGCACATGTCAGAACCATGCTAACTCTCCGAAATACGTTACTTGCCGTAAAAGGTTAGGTCTTATTTAAATTTGAATAAATGTATCGGGTGCAATGATTCAGAATTTTGTTTTTTGAGACTTTAACGTTTTAGGTTTCATAATGTTTGCTCGAAACTTCGTGATAACATATATGTCAAAATCAAACACAAATTTACTTAAATTATTTTCCGTCCTAGATCTAGCTTTTAGCGTATAAACAGGGTAATAATAATCCGACTGACCCAGAATCACGATATTCTTAGAAAACCTTTTCGGAACACTTTTGCGGGTTAAAATTTAGCTGCCCTGGTAAATGAGCAGAGCAAGACGAAAGCCAATTTTCGAATTTCATTTTCCTACAATTTGAATCATAAAGCTGAAACATAACTAATTTTAAATGGATATTAGTCAAATATAAGAGCAAATGAAAATCCATAATTCATTTTAAATTTCTGATATTTCCGAGAGTGTCAATAATATATTGTTTTATTATCATTATCTATCTTAAAACTGTCAGTTCCTTATCTAAACTTTACATAATGTATTTTAATTCGATAACAGACACATGCACATGCATATATGCTGCGTTATTGATTTAATAACTGTCTAAATAATATTTAATAATAGTAGTTTTATTTTTGTTGAGAAGTTCATTAGGAATTACGCTTATAGAAAATTAGTTGATCACCATGAAAGTCTTAGCTCATGTTAAAAAATTTCCAATGGTTCTCAGGCAAATTTTAAGCCACTGAATAACTATGCAAACCGCCATAACCAGTGGGTATTGTGGGCCGAGTTATTTTTGAGTATGTCCTGCAGCCTTACTTTCATCAGGTGTCTGCACAATAGCAGGTTAAAATTTGTATGTAGCTTATATCGATACCAAAAAGTTCCAACCCTCGGACGGAGGGAAATTAAATATTCAAGTCAGTGGGACAAACAACCGTGGTCTGGGGGATTGGATGGCCGAATGGGTGGCACGTGCGCCCTGTATCATAAGGTCTGTCATTGAGTCAACTGGCGTGGTTTCGATTCCCCGGTTGTACGTGACAAGGAGTAGGGTCGCCTGTCCAGTCTCGTGGGTTTTCGCCAGGTCCTCCGGTTTCCTCCCACTGCTGCAGACCCTACTCACAAGCGAATTGTTGAAATAAAATTGACCTAGTTTGTGTCGAGTGGACCTTAACCCCCGTTTCTCTCTCTCTCTCTCGCTTGCAAAACAGTTATAGACTACTGGGCCGAAACAATCACCTACACATCCAAGTAGGGCGAAACGACTTAAAGCTAACCCAGCACCCCTTATTCGCTTAGACTCTTCCAGATAACTAGGCCAAACATGGCTGTTTTCAGTACTAAGATGTCAAAAAACCACGATTTTTCAAGGGAGAAAAGCTATATAGCTTGATCTGAATTTAATTCTCACAAGACAGAAAGCAATGAGATGACCATTCCAGTTATTTCACAATGTTTTAGCCATTTTAAATAAAAATTGAAGATATGGCAAGCAATTTTCTAGTCGTATAGTATCACCTGGAACAGACAGTAGTTATTGCCGGGTTGAGCTCCAGTCAGTCTACTAGAGGAAAAACAGTCTTCTTATTTTAATGAATTATTATACGAAAAGAACAAAGGAAAATTTCCCATCCAGGTTACAACTCTAAATATGGCATGTGATACTACTCTGCCAAATGACTATTATTAATTATTATTAACAAACTATTTGCACGTCTGAGTGGAGACAATGCAATATTTAGGCCAATCACAACCTCATGTTTTCAGCCATAGAAATTGATATCAATTTATGAATTAGAAAGCCAATCCCAAACTGTATAGCCATACATAACTATACCACGTTATTGCAACTCAACAGGATGTTTTTTTTATAAACGGCACAAACAGTGGCGGATCTACTATGAAACTAATAATCTCAGTATTGATCTTAAAATACTTATTTCATATAGCCTCAAATTAATGTCATACATGTAATCAATCAAATTTCAGTCTTTTATTGCGGGGTGCTTGCAGCGCCAGAACACCCAGCGTGAGCTCGTCAGAATGTATTTATAGGTATGATCATTTTCAAATACTCCACACCACACACCCGTTCTCCGCAATTTTGGCATTAAAATCCGTTGGATCTTGCCCTATTAGTGGTAGTTGCGCAGGGGTCTCGATGGAGGTCCGCCACTGTGTACAACAACACTAAGACAAACTATACTATTCAAAAAAAGTAGGGGATATTTGATTTTTAAGTGTTATTAAAATCACCGAATGAAACTGACGAAGAAACAAATGACAAAATGAAATGAAGTTCACATTCATCGATTTATTCCAAATGATCGTTAGACTAAGTAAGGCACAGACTGACCATTATAAGGGTAAAATGATACCCGGGGTCAAACAGCAAAGTTACCACAGCATCACAACCAAGTCAGTAACGGGTAAATCCTCCTCTGTTTGCCAAACAAGCATTCATCCGACGTGGCATACTCCTAATGAGACGTCTAAGGTCATATTGGTCCAGATTGTCCCATTCCTGTTGCAACGCAGCAGCAAGTTCTTGGACATTGGTAGGACGTTGTTGACGTTGACGTAACCTCTGTCCAAGCATGTCCCAGACATGCTCGATGGGGGAGAGGTCGGGACTCAGTGCTGGCCAAGGTAATGTGGTGATGTTCTGTTGTTGGAGGTAACCTGTAACGATCCTGGCCCTGTGACATCTTGCGTTGTCATCCTGGAAGATGAAACGGCGGCCATGACGTCGTGCGAACGGCACAACATGGACTGCCAAGATGTTGTCCCGGTAGTACTGGCCTGTAACACGCCCTGCAACAACATGTAAAGCCGTTCTTCCAGCAACAGTGATGCCTCCCCACACCATAACAGAACCACCCCCAAATCGATCATGTCTGATGACGTTAACGTCTTGGAAGCGCTCGTTTCGACGACGCCACACCCTCCTACGTCTGTCCAAAAAATCAACAGTGAACCTTGAATCATCTGAAAACATCACATTGCTCCAGCGTCGATTATCCCAGTGTTGACGATCCCTACACCAACGACGTCTTGCCTGAATGTGATGATCTCTCAAACAAGGGATCACGCGAGGACGTCGGGCGCGAAGGTGACCCCTATGCAGTCGATTCCGAATCGTCTGGCCACTCACTCTCACACCAGTGTCTGTTTGAAGACGAGCGCTGTTCTGATTTGCTGTGATGACACGATTTCTCAAGGCCAAGGTACGGATAAATCGATCCTGGGCTTGAGTTGTCGCCCTTGGTCGACCTGAGCGTGGTCTGTCCTGTACAGATTGTGTATCACGGTATCTGGACCATAGCCTGCTTATGACAGACTGAGAAACATTCATCGTCCGCGCCACAACCGCCTGTGTTGTGCCGATCTGTAGCATGCCAAGGGCACGTAACCTTTCATTTTGGGTAAGCCGACGCATATCAAAATTTGTTTTCTGGTCACTAAAACAATTAAACTGATGTTTCCACCCTGGAATTCAATGCCACAATGACTGTAACATTCAAAGTCAGAGTCGTGCAAATCTTGGGTTGGACCCCCATGATGATCCCAAGCATCACCTGCATTCCATGCGGTAGCTATTGGTGCGTTTGGGCGTCACATGTAACTGGAAATGTTTCTTCTGTTAGGTTCTATAGTGACTTTTTTCGTAGTCATTTGCATATTTTAGTATTATGCCCCCAAAATCAAATATCCCCTACTTTTTTTGAATAGTATATATCCAGTTTCGCGTGATGTACATAACCCATTACTAATGTAGAAGGGAGCACGTACTGTCATTTCAACAATTTTAAAATGTATGGACGCATTTTTGCAACATTGGCCTTCATTGGTAAGTAATCAATTTACATATTGCAATATAAAGGGCAATTTGAATATATTTTGGGCGATTATATTACCTTTACACCAAGGTAACAGTATCAAGAACAATTGTCAGAAATGACGAGTCAGTTAAAGACTTAATACTGAAACTGATTAAATTAGAGCTTCGTATTAACACATTTTCTTAAACTAATTACTATATAAAATTATATTTTCTAATTCTTTATTATTTTATTTGAATAAGTTTATTTTATTTTTATTTTATTTGAATAATTTTGTTTTATTTGAATAATTTTATTTTATTTGAAAGAATCGGTATCTTATTTGAAACATTTATACTTTTTCAAAACTCAATTTGTTTTCATGTCAAAGGCAGGGGGGGAGGGGCACAACATAATTCGCAATGTTGAGGTAGGGCATGGTACACAAAACGATGGGACCAACTGGTGAAAGGTATTAATACCCTTTCACCCTTTCTTAGGTAAAGCATTATTGTAATTATTTGGTTTGAAAATTTCTTGATGCCCTTACACAATCAGGGGCGGACCCCACCCACCCCCTGTTCAGCTACATAAAAAAATCGTAAAACAACACTTTTTATGAGAAAAGTGTCACGGTCGTGTGCTTTATCCATTATCATCAGAGGGTCCTCTATCAGTTTTAAAAATTCAACCAGGGACATAATTTCTACCCAATCTGGACAGTAAAACCAATTAGAGCTGTTTAAAAATCATATGCAATAGTATGGTTACATGACAACTGAAACTTCTGGATCCGCCCCTGAAATACTTAAGGAATAACTGTTGATGTCGCTTTGTATTGGATAATAAATACCTTATATAGTATTTAATCAAACATTATCATCAAATAAATTCACTGTAGGCGTTTTTAAATAAATCACATTTTATGCCTGAAAGAAATATCTAGAGCAAAAACATCATGCTGTTTGTTTACCACTTGAAACATATAAAAACATAAAGACATAAATAACTCCTTGTGTCATGCTTCAGAGAACATGTAATTATCCTTTCTAATTGAGCTGATAGTGAAAAAACTTCAGTTAAGAGGTAATTGTTAGTTGACAGGTAACCGGATATGGATACCTTGCTTGATACGGCGTTTACTGGAAGTGGGTGTGACCTGTCTATGTGTTTGTCTGCCCAAAGTGATCGCCAGTTTTGTTCTACAAATTGAAAACAAGTATGACGGTTGTTTTGGGCGTTACTTTTTTTTATTTTATCATATCTGTAGTTCTGTAATCGGAGTTTAGCTTTAAGCTGCTTTCACACTACATACACATTCAATGCGAATTCCGGAATTCGGATTGGTTTGTCTCGGAGTAAAAGCGGTGTGTCACATTACAGCTTATTCGGATTGAACTCAAATTGAAACGAGTCAGACTGAATGCGCATAACTAGCAAGATGGATGCGCCCGCCATTCGTATTCGTGATCTTCTGTTGCTAATGTTTCATTTTTTGAGGCGAGTAAGACTATATCAACGACGCCGGATCTCGCAACTTCGGCATCTTGTCATTGAGTGTCGGGCACGATTTCGTCTGAACCTGAATCATAGGCGAATGAAGATGATTACTTTTCTGGTTGCTTTTGCTATGCATCAACAAGTATGTACGTGTAATTCACTCTCGATTCTGTATTAGCGAAGATACATTTCATAATTAAAATCCTTTCAGCACTAAACATGCAAAGCAATAAATTATGTTGTCAGTTTTATCCAAATACATACAATACATGCTAGAGACTAGACTCTATAGACTCAAAAGACACCTTGAGCTGGCCTGTCCTGCCCCTAAGGCCTAGGCCTTAAATGATCAGTCGTGATTTTAACACACCATATCTTTGTATTTAGATTTTTAACTGGTTATGTTACCGCAGTATATTGTAACAGTGCATATTGACGAAATATGCACAAATATTTTATTTTAGATATTTTATTTTTATGTATTTTAAGGAATGTATATTTTATAGATTATTTAGTTTAGTTTAAATGCATATACAGTATGTTTATTAAAGATGTCGAGGCTAGAATGCAGTAAAAGCATAAATTAACCTTGACGCTGATTAGGTGTCGATAGATTTTAAACAATATTATATTGTATACCTGTATAAAAGAGCTTTAATAGAGGGTCCTTTATTGTTTGTTTATCTAGACGTAATTAAAGAAGATTAATGGTGACAGCTTAAACTTTTAAAACAATAGGATTAAACTAACGCTATTACTCAATGTCGTTACCTGACATATTTAACGAAGCGAGTCTCGATCTGGCCAATCAGACTTCGTATCGAGAAATGGGCGTCTTTCGTTAATTGTTTTCCACCAATCAAAAATGAGTTTAATCTTACACGTGGCATCCTTAACAGTACCGCGACTTTTGGAAGATATAAATAAGCTAGCTCAAAGTTACCATTGGTTGGAATGGCCTAGTGGTCTAGAGTGTCACGCTTTGACCTCTAGTTGGCCGGTCACCTCTGGCTTGCGGTTGTGGTTTCGATCCCTGGTGTGAGTGTATGTGGCTTGGAGATAGGGGCGCCTTCTCAACCTCGTGGGTTTACTCCGGGTACTCCGGTTTCCTCCCACAGCAAAGACCCCTGCGCGTGCGCTAAGATCATGAAAATAAAGACTTGTCTGCGATATCACCTTCGGTGGAAGCGGACGTTAAAGACTAAGAACAACAACAACGTTACCATTTATTTGTCTGCGATATCACTTATGTGGAAGCAGACGTTAAACACCAAGAACTACTACTACTTACCATTTATCTTCACTTATTAAATTACTTAGAAACTTCAATACTGGATCTCGTCGTATAATCAGATAACAACACCCAAAGAAACCCACTTTTACAATATGTATCAGTGAGGTGGGGCTACGGCTATGTAGGCTATACCCCAACAATTTGATGTTTGCAATATTGATTTTGATGTATTTGCAGAATATTCTCCCGGAAAATACACACGCTTCCCCCCAAGCGATAAACGGAAGGAGAAGTGAGAATACGCACAAAGTTATTCGGTTCCGGTAAACCCGTTGATCCGGATCAAGCTCGCCACACTCAAATTCTTACTGGGAATAACCAGATCCGGAATAGTTGATCCAGATTGAATTCGGAAAAACATACGGACTCGTTATTTCAGATTCAGTTCGGATTTTAGCGACTTGAATGTGACGCCTAAATCCGGGTTTAACGTCCACTCGATACAACTAGGTCATTTCGTGACTAGCATAAATGGTTCAATTTTATTTCAATAATTCGTTAAACCACATTTTCTTTTAATTCAGACCACCGCACCTTACCCCCTTTCATCACATTGATGTCTGCATTCAGTCATTCAGAGTTTCTCATATAAATAAATACAAACGACTAATTAATGATTTTCCTGTTATAGGGCATAAAAACCTATCCAGTATCGCTTATCAACTTGAAAAGCTTAGAGTTAGGAAGGGGACTATGGTTAAGTGTGCGTGCATTCAGTTTCAGTTTGAATGATATGTTTGTATAATGCTTTTGGTCTGATAACATGTTTTACAGGTACTATCAAAGGGCAAATAATATTGGATCCTTCAAATTGTCCGAACCTCTTGGCTAATCTCGCCCAGTGTGGCCAAAAATATCCCGTAGTAGATTCAGCGGATGCTTTACAGGCCCTTTCTTTTTACAAACAGAGTCCAAGTATATGCAAGTAAGTATTAATATTGATCAATGTTAATTTGGGTGTAGTTTTTATTTAATGTCAGCAAAATTAGTCTGTAAATATTTTGCCAACTGCTACACAGCGGTTAAACAAAAGCCATTATTTACAGGTCATGCACAGTATAGTTCTACGTGTGACGTCGCATCAAATGACGACAATAACGTTTGCGTTGTTTACATCTGGCGTAGTAATAAACACTGGTCGGGGCCTTTTACTTATTTTAGCCCCCGGTACTATTTTATATACCCTTTGACACTAAATACAAAAAAAAATTCAACAAGATACACCTCAAACACCTTTATTTGTTCTTAATAGATAAAACATTATATTTAGAAAGTAATTTGCAAAAAAACAAAAAAAAAAAAAAAAAATAATATCGATCGCTAATAAATTGCCCCGGTGTCATCCCCGTCGGTGATCAGTTTGAATATTTTGATTTTCAGTAAATTAAACGGAAATATCTATCACAATCATGATTATTCAAAGATCTGTAAACGATTCCAAACTCTACTTTTAAGGCATTTTATCACATTTTCAGTTTTAAATGTTCATAATTAGTCAAAGATGCATTATGTAAGGTTTAGATAAAGAACTGACCGTTCTTGCTATATAGCTGTCCAAAAATAGATAATTCAAAATGAATATATTAAAAACTAATTGAAATTTGTTTATTCTGATCGACGTTATCACCATTTGAAGTTTTGACAAGATGTGGCATATTGTTTATTACCGTAGCAACGGTACTTGTTAATCGAGACTCAGACTCGATTCATCATTTTTAAAATAAATCATTAAATTGGTTTAAATCTCCTTCCTCTAATTATAAAATATAACCAATGGTTGCGTTAAGGTGTTTTACAAAGCTTAAACATTTTCAAAGACGTTCGAGGCGGACGATGGCTGTATGACACCCCATTATATGCCAGGGCGATAGTATGTATGCAGAAATCATTGGGACGGAATTTATTATTATTATTAAAATCTTTGTTTGTAAATGAACTACATATATATTTTTATTAACTTTGTAAACAGAAAAATGTCAGAATACAAGCAACTGATCACTTGTCATGTGGACCTCGCAATGAATTGCTCGCAGGATGACGATAAAAAGTTATCAGCACCAACAAAGGCATATATCGAAGCGTTTGATGATTTCTGTAAAAATATAAACGGTAAGAAAAATCTTGTTTTATGTTTAACAAAAGAAGAATGTCTACTAAGTTCGGTAGTCGATATATCCTCGGGCATTCGCATCCTTACTTCTACCCGAATTCCATCAACTATCATCAACTTATATAACTAACGTCGGACACAGGCGCGTGTAATAAAGAAAATCTCTTTCAAACAGCTTTCAATAATAACATTCAGCTGTGATTAAGTCTGTCAAGTTCATGTTCGTAAGCGAGATTATCAAATTCAGGGATAGATAACTCGCCCGAAACGGATTCTTTAGAAGGACTCGGGCTGTAGTGCGAGTTATAAATAGACAATTTAGATACATCTTATCTAAACTATTAATAAGACATAAATTAAATTATCAAGACATAATCAACTCCCGATGCCATCGTTAGCCTGTGATATTTAGCGGATTTGAATACGTTTTGTGATGGATGATTTAACGTAAAAATGGATAATCGAGGCTTTGTTTATTACGTTACCAAAGAAAGGTAGTAATGATGATCAAGGCTAGCCTAAAATTGAATCACTAATATCTCGGTTCAGATGGAAGCAATTTGACTGAAATTCTGTTTTTATTATCTATTTTTTAAACTATTATAGCGAGAACTGTCAGCTATTTATCTAATCTTACCTAATACCCCTTTAATATACATTTTCTTTTACAGCCTTTAATTCTTCGTGTTATCAAGACAGTACTACAGAACTTGGGCTATGTGTCAGTAAAAATATTGAAAGCCACCAACTACCAACAAATTCTAGTTTTGATGACAAGAAAGCATTTGTATGCAAGTAAGTGAAACAAATTAAATCGAAATTGTGTACTGTGATAATGCTAGTCGTAAAGGTTATAGTACATGACAATGTGTAAATTTTATTATGTTTCAAACATCGAATAATTTGAGCGCAAATGTTTTAATTTCATTTCGTTTCGAACGTCACATTTATCAGTGTCTGGCCGGTCACAAAAGTATTGAGCCCCTTACAACATCAAATTTTGGTATACGATTGTTTGTCTGTGTAAATGGTTAATCCAGCGAAATTAAGCAAACAAATACACGATATGATACAATTCTACGGAACAGAATTACTGTTTATTTATGTGCAACATTTCCATTAGGCTTCTTTAGTCTTGATATAACAAAGCGTGGGCATACTCCCACAAAGCAACTATGTCTTGGAAAAAAAAATTGCCATACACAGCAGCTTATCCGAAAGGAAAACATTGATGTTGACCAAATTTAATCAGGATCACAATATTTTCAGGGCACGTATTATATCAATGGGTTTTATCCTCTCTGATCCCAATGCTTCACACCAAATTTGACAATAAATTTTGTTTATCTTCCGACTTGAAAACAATACGATTCATCCTAACCCAGCCCTATTGCTTCACACCAATCCATTAACAACTGTAGCGGCTATCCCGTTCACAATGTTTTCAGAAAAAGGCACCGAAGGTTGTATAATGCTGGAAAACGACAAGGTTCGTCCTCTCATTACCCGATGCTTGTTTAGAACTGCCGCACTATTCCAGTACTGGTAGGGGAGGTGTTGGGTGATGAGAGCTTATTGCTTTAAGTAAATCCAATTACACCCTGATTATACAGGCGAGACACATGAATATGGGCATATTTAGACTTTTTCGAAGATTTCCGACCTCTTCATATTTTTTCTGTTGCGTCTTTTTTGTATTCCTGGTTGTTTTCAAATTGAGTGAAGTCTGTGTCACTCCAGGGCCGGGACTGTACAGCGCAGTGGACGCTTACGGCTGGCCCCCGGATCCATTCACTTAATTTGATATTTGTTTATTTGGTGCAGTGTCTGTTTTCTGTCTTGTCCGCAGGTTTGTCTTGTGGTTTTTTGTTTTACGTGTAGTGCGGTCCCCCTGCACTTACTATATATCGAGGGTTTAGAACATAATTGTGATAAGTCACAATGCTTGATATATTGACTTATCACAATTATGTTCTAAACCCTCGATATATAAGGTTGTTTCCAGTGTGGCGGCTATTTACGAGATTTAAATATAGTTGCTGGATCCAATAAGATGAGAAAAGAACACCTTAAAAAAAACCCCACACACATATAACGTTATAGACCTCTTTCTAAATCATCCCATGAATACCCACTAAATTGGATGGTTATTGAGCCCCATACAGCCCCCACCCCAATGGCAGATAACTCTTTATATGGCATGTGATACTAATATGCCAAATGACTATTATTAATTGTTATTGACAAACTATTTGCGGGTCTGCGTGGAGACAATGCAATATTTTGGCCACTCACAGCCTCATGTCTTCAGCCATAGAAATTGTTTTAAAACTTTGAAATCTGGACAGTGACATATAAGTGAATTCAATTGTGCGTCTCTAAACTATAGCTGTCCGCCATTGACAACACACTGATAGGTAAAGGGGGAAATCTACTAATTTCTAGAAATATCCAGTAAACTCATGACAAAATTTCGATTAATATTTCATGAAATGTTATGAATTTGTTCAGCTATTGAATTTGAATGATATAAAGGATTTGGGGTTCTCACGGATACACTCACAGATGAAAGTGGGGGGACAAAAATGTAATTATGTCAGTGAAGACAAAGTGGTTTGTGAGCGTATTCTACCTCTTTCCCTTATTGAAATTACTGTGTGCTACCAGATCTGGCAGGTACATTCATGGATGGACGTGGGGAACAAAAGTATCATTTGACGCTAACCAATTGTATGGACCAAATAAGAAATTGTATCGAAAAGTATAGACAAAAAAGGTTTTCGTTTATTTATTTCAGAGGACACGAAATAAGTATTGATTGCCTGTCTAATAACATGGTACTGAAGACATGTCCCGGAACCCGTGACATACTTCTCAAGTACGCTGAAACATTGAAACCACAAGCTTGTGGGGCCATGATGATTATTTCAAGTATCCTGTTACTCATATTATCTATGATGTTATTTGTATCTGCTGTCTATTAACTAACTTTATAATAACTTCTGAAATGTTATAGTATCATGATGTTATTTGTATCTACTGTCTATTTACTAACATTATAATAACTTCTGAAATGTTATAGTATCATGATGTTATTTGTATCTACTGTCTTTTTAACTTTATAATAACTTCTGAAATGTTATAGTATCATGATGTTATTTGGATCTATTGCATATTAACTGGTTTTAAAATGATTTCTGAAATGTTACTCATACTTTCTGTGTAGAATAAAGCACAAGACTGTGGTTATGCTGGAGAAAGAAAGGCTGAAGAAAATAACCCGAGAAAAACCGAGGCCGGCGGGGCGAGGATTTTGTTTCGAGGTTTTTTCTGAAGTCTTTCTTTCCCAGCATAACCGAAGTCGAGGACTTTATCTTGCTTATAAACCGTCTATGTTTACATGTACGTGAAATGAGAATATCCCAGAATTCCAGTAAGAAAAACCTTATTTCATGTTTTCTAACGGAAAATAAAAACCTACCCCGGAAAAATAACCCGTTACAGGTTTAAAGAAAAACTTTTAGAAGAATAACCCCAAATTCCATTGTATATATTCAAAGTCACCCTGCTGTTTAGATCGCAAATTATTCCGGCATAGAATATACCCTAAAGATCAAGGAGATTTACCGTTATATGTTTGTAGGTATTGTTATCTGTATCTATTTCTAATTAAAAATAACTTATGAAAATGTTACATGACTATTCATGATTAGTATCTGCTTCATATTAATTGGTTTAAACAATAAGTTCTGAAATGTTACTCATATTATCTGTGATGTTAGTAGTATCTACAACATATTAAAAATAACTTATGAAAATGTCTATAGTTTAAAATTAATAGTTTAGCTTGAATACACATTGAATAAAAAACTATCAATCTCAAACTAAAGTAAATCAGACATAAACGTTTTGCACGGGATCTAATTTTTTCGCGACAATCCGAACGACTATTCGTTGTCCCTTGAAAGCCCCCCCCCCGTCCCACACCAGACGCAGGGTGGTGGGCGGGGGTATCATGCAAGATAATTCCGATGAAATTTCTCGGGCCAACAGCAGAATCGAATACGGGCCCGGATCTTTCACATAAAGGTTTGATACTAGTATATAATATATCGACGTATACAATTGTGTTATTCTGGAAGATATTATGTTCTTGGTGTTTAACGTCCACCGAGGGTAATATCCCAGACGAGGAAACTGGAGTACCCGGAGTAAACCCATGAGGTTGAGAAGGTGCCCCTATCGCCAAGCCACATACGTTCACACTTGGGACCACGACTGCAGACCACTAAATCATCTTACCCCCACCGGAAAATATGATGTATTTTCGATGCTTTAATGGTAAGGAGCGTGAGATAATGTATCCCTAATACACAATTATTTACACTTGACATGAACGGTGTCGTATGAATAAAGCATTAGCCCCAATCTATAACATTGGATTCTTGACCTACGTTATTACCTGGAATAATGGAGCTAACTTTTTTTGTGCCTAACTTTACTTCATTTCTGGAAGTCTTCTCGACTCGAAAGCTTCTGGTTGCCAACCACATGAATACCTTTGCCTAAAAAACCCCACCAAAACATTTGATGGGAAATCCGCATTTACCTTGGTACATAATTATGTAGCAAATCGTGGGGCGGGGGGTATCTTTTGACGACGCCGATAAATGTGGGGGCTCTGTTGAACAGGATAAAGTCGATTTGTTCCATATCTAAGCCACAGTATATGATTGACAAAGGTTCAGCAATATGATTATGAAGTAATGAAAACCGCTTTAAAACAGCATGATGGTGGGGTTTTTTTTCATGTCGTCTCGGATAAATTATTAATGAATTTTAACAACTGATTAACCCATACCAGGAACCAAGTAAACGTTGAATATCAGAAACACAATTTTTACTTTTATTAAAGGCGTTTTTGTGAACCGATTAGATTAGACCGATTAGCTATTATACGCATTTGTGAACCAAGTTGATTATGCTAATCGTTACATTTGTGAGATGATTTAACTCAACTGATTAGGCAAATCGACCTAATCGTCCCAGGAGGTGTTTAGGCGATTAGATTTGACTTTTTCAAAATGGCGGAATGTTCGACGTCGTAAGTAATTTTTAATGCTTATTGATGTTTTTCTCCATAAAAAATGTTTTTTTTTAAAACGCATTTGACGTGTTTAATGTTAACTTTATAGTTCACAAGAATGTTAGATCACCTTTAAGCAATTTTATTCATTTACAGTTTTTTCAATATATTCCTCGATCCTAGGTTTTCTCAGGACACTTTTTACATGTTTTGTCACTTCAGTTTTCAAAAAAATACTTGAACTTGTTGGACATAGGAGATTGTTTCTAACGGCAACCATTTTTCCTTTTTTGCGTAGATAACCTTCATTTGTCTTTAACAAGTCATCAATAATTAGCAGAGACAATTTTTTTTTCTGATCGGTGTCCGTGATGGCAGCCATCTTACAAAATCGTAATTATCAAATTTCACATTTGTGGACCATAGCTAATCAAATCGAAATCATACCAAATCGTACTAGCAAATCAAAACCTAATCTAATCGACTCACAAAAACGCCAAAAGTCAAGTTAAAAGAACACAAACATTAACTTCGTGTTTTTATTTGAGAACACCAAAGAGAAAGGTAAACGAGGGAGATGGGGCATCAATTGAGCCAAACATTTTATAAAAACTTGACAGTTGGAATTCGGTATAAGAGTAGGCCGTAGTGCCGCTGTCCGGGCAAAATTTCTCTCATAGCACACTGTATGGCGTATGTCCATCTTTACTGGCCCTGTCGGAGCAGAGAAGCAGGACGTTAAATCCCATTTCATTTCATTTCGTTTAGTGGAGACCGCTGTGTTACTTAATATTACTATTTGGATGAACGCCAAATTATAATATTTGAATAACAGTTTATGTATAAAAAGTAATCTTTGTTGTTGTCACGTTTTAACGCATGGCGTTAACTAAACAAAACAGTATTGTTGAAATACTTAAAGATATCAAATCACGATTAGACCACTGTTTATAAGTTATCTAAAAATTATGAAATAAAACAGTTCGTGAGGGTATATTATATGACAGATATTTTTTTTTTTTTGGGGGGGGGGGGGGGTGGAGATGTATCAAAACGCAGTTTCGTCGAAGCAATCAATCACATTCGAAGGCCTTAAAATACAAAAAGCAAATTGATTAGTATCAGGTGTTTCCAAAAGAAACAATCATACGAAATGAAATGAAATGGGGTTTAACGTCCTACTATTCTGCTCCTATACTAGGCTAATGAAGACGGGCATACGCCATGCAGTGTGCTATGAGGGAAATTTTGCAGGGATCGAACACCCGACCTCCAGGCTAGCGAGCCAGCGTCTTAACCACCTAGCCACCGTGACTCTGCTCCGGTTTTACATATCTGCTGAAATTTGCATTTAATAAATTTAGCAGTCAAGTATGTATATATCATCCTAAGAGGTATAACATCTATGAAATGCACTCGTATCTGTTTGACACAATGGTTAGCCATCTTTAAGCTGGTTAAGTTAGACTATAAATTTACAATAGACTAAACATGTGACATTAACTATTTACATTTCCTGAGATATTTGTCATGTTTGCTACATAATACTTGTTACTTTGAATAAGTGACAGATGCTCGGTTTATAATTGTCATCTTGACATAAGAGACATATTATACAGCTGGCTAGTTAAGGGAAAATTACCTCTAACCCACGGCAAAAAATGGCGGTCAAACTGTTTACAAGGGGGCATTTATAATACACTAGAAGGATGCCCGGCTTCGCCCGGGGCCCAATCATAAGCCCGGGGGTCATAACTCCGAAACCGAAAGTGGTAGACTATCGTCTCGGGGCCGATGTACCAGTGTAGCCGCCAACCTTGAACAGGCAGACAGACAAATAAACAATAAGCGACAGTCACAAATGTTAGTATAGATGTAATACATGATTTTACGCGTCGACAATTCGCGACACCTCGTTTAATAAATATTATCGCGGGGTGATAGATATTAACTTTATGTTTACCACATTGTCTCTTAAATGTAAATACCTTGAAAACAAGTTCAGCTTGATGTTTTAAATTAAATACAGCTGCTTTGTTTATTAACGTCATTTAATACTATTTCTAGACCAATTTAAGGTAAGAGTATATTATATAGCATAAATAGTACATAGATTATATGTAACAGTATCTCCATCTTTTCTTGTTATAGTATTGAACTATTTGTTCTCGGTCAAATGTATTGCTAAACAAATAGTATATATTTTACACAAAAGAGGTTTTGTTAGTGTTAAATCACGCGAGAGCCCAAGGCAATGCAGTCTTTTTATTATTTGTTTTTTAACCAGTTTTTTAAATTAGATATCAACCAACTACTGCTACCTCTTAAAATGAAATATACGATATTCAAATGACCTCATTTTTTTCCATTTGACGAATTACGTCAATCTACAATTTTAAAGAAAATATGTTGAAGTTATTTTAATTTAGAAACAGGATTTCAGATGTAAAACTAATTTATTATATGCGAAAGTGCGGGTGTGTATAAACTGAAGACAGAAGACAAGAACGACCACCCTCGTCTCTTATTGCTTATTCATAGTCAGATTGCTTCAACTTTCGATATTTGCACGGTCTATGTTAGTTCATTTCGGAACTGTCCCTCACCGCCAAGCCCTTATTAAGCTGCAATATGAAAATGCCGCTATACCCCAGCCCTGTTTTTGGTCATTTTAGAAGTAAAATGAAATGAAATGGGGTTTAACGTCCTAATTTCTGCTCCGACCAGGGCTAATGAAGAGTCTTTAACTTCTATTTTTCACCGTAAATAAAGAAATCTCATTGATCTTTCTGAAATTTATTTTGGTGCTAGTGCTATTATCGTGAGTTTGTTTTCATTTTGAGTGACAACTCGTGTTTGTCATGTTTGGCGTCACTTCCCGTTTCTTCACGTGCTTGTTACACGTCTACCGAAGCAATGATTTCTGTGTAAAAATTATATTTGGAATGTATTTAACCAGTTCTATCACATATGTAATAATGACTGACACCAATATTGTCCTTTAACATTTTGGACATTTACATGTTATTCTGTGTTTCCTAGCCACAATGGTGATCATGTATAATTTTTCTTACAGCTAATTTCTGCTAATATGTACGTTCTGCTCGTGTTGTTGCTGGTACTCCAGGTTGTGACCTGTGCTGTAATAACAAATTCACAAGGTATGTTTTAAAATTGCTTAAAAGAACTCAAGTTCTTTGATTTAGGGCAAAATAAAGTATATATAGTCTGATGTGTGTTATATCGATTATTGTAGAATTTTTGTTTTTATTCTCAGTTAGTATCAATTGGGCCCCACGAAGATAAAATAGCCACATTAAGATACTAAGTGTTTTCTATTTATAATCAACGCATTTTTTGGGAAAAGTATTTTGAAAATTGTGTAATGCGCCCGTATTTGTGTTTTTAATCGTTCCAGAGCAGCCATGCAATATGGGAGCTGCATGTAGTCAAAGCAATTCTGTAAGCTACGTGAACAATGTACGTTATTGCTGTCCGAGTGGTAATGGAATCAGCGTGTCCTCGAGATCATCTGGGATGTACAACAGTGGGCAGACCTATACTACATGCACATGTCACTCTGGTACAACATTTACTTCATATGGCAACGCTAATGTTGACTGGGATGCCTTTAACAAGGGAATGCAGCAAATGTCTTGGCAGCTTAGTAACATGTTCCGTGGCAATCCGTTCTTTGTTCGTTGATCATAAAGCTTTAAAATATATATTAAAGATGCATTATGTAAGATTGAGATAAAGAGTTTACTGTTTTCGTTATAATAGTTCCAAAATAAATAATAATAAAAATAGTTAATTATTGTTATGTTAATTAATGACTAAATAGTAGTTTATAGAACATTTGAAACCAAAATTAAGACATGCAATAGGCAGATTTAGATCTTTCATAATGCATCTTTAAATGAACATTATATTATACAACCTAAACAAAATCAATATTTAATTTGATCATATCGCCTCATTGACGTTAATCAAAATTTAGTGGTTCGCATGACAACAGTCTTTAATTATCCCCTTAGAAATGAATTCTGATAAATAACATTATGTAACGACAATTACTGATAAAGGAATTTCTACGATTGTAATGTTTTTGTATACAGCGTTATGGAGTGTAAAACCTGCCACAGATGTAACTTGTCCTTTGATGTATATAAATGCTTATTTCATGTTTAATAACTTCTTATTACTTGTGCGTGAGCGCATGCAAACAAGTGTGTTCAAAACTAACACCCCAAATCAAAATCCCATAAACGACCTTCACTGAAATGGGACCCAGTAATTTATTGGGTTTAATGTCCACTCGGCAGAACCTAGGTCCTTTGGGGACTAACACATGGTTCAATTATATTTCAATAATTCGCTTGCGCGTGGGGCCTTTAGCAAAGGGAGAAAACCGCGATAGTCAGAGAAAACCCACTAGGGTGGACAAACCACCGTGTCACGTACAAGCTGGGAATCGAAACCATGCCACTTGCTTCAATGACAGACCGCATGATCTAATGTTTATGCCTTAGACCGTTGCCCCCATCCCCAATGTTTAATTAAAATAAAAGTGGCCTGCTTCAACGTCTAAATGAATTAGGTAATGAGTTAAAAACATGCTGGGATTGTTTGGCTGATCATAAGGAGGGTTTCAATGGCCTCTGGAGTTAGTACTTCTGTTAACGAAACGTTTTCCGGCGTGGTTTCTCCGTGTCAGAGATGCAGGACAGAGGACTTGAAAGCAGCAACGCATGGCCTTTTTGTTTTGGTGGGACGAAAAACAAAGGTCTCTTGTACACATTGGCGTGCACGTAAATGAGCCCTTGACAGACCGAATTCAATATAAGAGCGATGTTGTCCGGGCAAAATTTTCTTTATACAACACGATATTGGCCCAGTCGGAGCAGAACAGTAGGGCGTTAAACCCCTTACATTTCATTCCCTTCACAAGCATATGAAATTTCAAAAAAAAAATATATCAAATATGCCAATTGCATGATTTTATATTTGTTGCTTATTGCTTGCAATGTCTGTGCAGTCTGTGTCTTGTCCACAGGTTTGTCTTTTCTGTTTTGTTTGAGTGAAGTGCCTTTCCCCTGCACTTACTATTATGAATAGTTAAAGTTGTAATTATTCTGGTTCCCTCGATACTGAACATCCCCTCAAGAGTCGAGTCGGTTTTGAGTTTTTGTTGTACTGATCGTCGTATCTGCCTAACTATAATCATACACACGGGTTTGTCTGACAAGGAAGGATATACGTTATACGCCCATCAGTAGCTTTGTTATGGGAGATACAGAGCAGGCGATACGTTTCAAGTCAGTAGCTTGAAGCGTATATATGGTATTAGTGTCAGTGGCCTGTGGCACGAAGTAACAGTATATTGTCGCATACATAATATATTATGTCAACGCTTGGGCGATATAATATATTATGTCAACGCTTGGAACTAGGATGGAGGTGACTAGGCATGAACTTGCAACGATAGATTTAATTGGCGCTTTGATAACCAATGAATGCTTGTTTTTTTCTTTTCTGTTTTTTCTCTCTTTTCTGTGTCCTAACCCTAACCCTAACCCTAATCCGAAAGAAAAGTGCCCTTTTTTGAAATTCTGACATCACAGGTGCCCTTTTTCTGATAAGGATGCCCTCTTTTATTTACAGGGACACTTTCTATGGCTCTGATGACGCGTACATTCCACTGAGTCTACAGGTCTAATATGCTAACACGCTTGGAGCGTCAACACAATATATTATGTCGCCCAGGCGTTGACATAATATATTATGTATGCGACAATATACTGTTACTTCGTGCCACAAGCCACTGACACTAATACCATATATACGCTTCAAGCTACTGACTTGAAACGTGCAGGGTGCACAGATAGCCCCATCTAAAAGTGCAATAATTGAATTTCGATTAGGTTCCTCCTTAAAGATGCATTATGTAAGATTTAGAAACAGAGCTGACCGTTCTTGCTATAATAGTTCATTAATAGATAATGCAAACTGGATATATTGAAAATTTCATTCTGATTACTGTATTCTGAGCGAAGTTATCACTGTTTGTAGTTTGACAAGATGTATGCATTGATTGTTTATTATCGTAACAACGGTACTCGTTATTCGAGACTCAGTTTCGCTTCTCCATTTCTAAATTAAATCATTAATTGACCGAAGCGTTCTAGTCTATTTAAAATCGGAGGCATCCGATGGCGCAGATAGTTGAAATCATTCTTGGCCATTAAAATAAATTTTGATATGATTAATGTTTATACACAGAGGTATTAGTATTTATATCGTATTTTATATTTTAACTGTCTTTATGTCTTTATTTTTATTATATAACAATGCATGAAGACTGCGTACACAAAGTACTAACATTAAATCTGATATTAAAATTCCATTGCGTCATTTTAGCGTAATAGGAATCCATTGCAAATTACACTATTGTGGAAGATGAATATCGGTAGATGTGTAAAGAGCTCGCCGCCATTATGTTATAAGTGAACATAATTGATAAGCCGGGGGTTATCAGGCGTTGGCATTTTGATTTTATTTGCTTAGATTGATTATTTAACATTTAATTAACAAAATCATTACACCAACGTTAGACAACCCACACGGCTTCGATTCAATCTCAGTACATATCAGCGTGGATTAAGCCGTGAGGAATATGATAATGACCAATCGGTATTTAAAAAAATAAATTAAGTGAAATGAAATACGGTTTAACGTCTTACTGTGCTGCTGCGACTAGGCTAATAAAGACAGGCATACACAAAACACATATCGAATTCCAACTGCTAAGGGATCTTTTACGTACACGCCAATGTGTATACGTGACCTCGGTTTTTTTGTCCCATCCTTGTCCTGCACCACTGAGAAGGGGAAACCACGCCGGATATCCCGATGAACTTTCGCCTTACTCACTTAGCCACCGTGGCTCCGTACTTAAAAAAATATGTATTTTATATTTCAGAACGGCACTGTGATGAAGGAGATGTTTGTCGTAATAGCAGTTCTGTAGGCTACGTCAATGGTGTACGATATTGCTGTCCGAATGGTGGTGGATCAAGCATGTCCTCGGTGTACAACAATGGACAGGCCTATACCCGATGCATATGTCATTCTGGCACAACAATTGCATCCACAGGAAATTTTGACTGGAATGCCCATAACAAGAAAATGCGGAAGTTTAATAGGGAACTAAAGCGAAGGCTGTCTCAAATGAATAAGCAACTTAACCAAAGAATGCAACAAGCTGATCGGCAACTCAAGCGAGAAATGCAGCAACTGTCTTCGCGACTGAATAATATGTTTCGTAGAAACTCCTTCTTTGGTCGTTAAAGAGACAAGTTCAAGTTTCTCAATGTTTAAAGTCTCAATACCACTCTTGTTGTAACTGAATAATATGTCCCAATCTTTATTCTGGTCAACAAATTTTACTATTTTACAATATTCCAATTAATTGATGATACAAATTTCATCTTAACACACCTAATTTAAAAAATTGGAAAAATTCAACTAAATGATTTGAAAAGCCTAACGTAAAGCTTTTCAAATGTGACTTGGATTTAAAAATATTTTCGAACCCTCTGGACAAGTAAAATAGGATTTAATGGATAATTTACACAACAGGTAGGATACTTAAACATCTAATACTTAGAATAAGGCTATTATTTATTTTCTGCAGCTGTCAAGCCAGCAAGAGTGTTATTGTCCCTTTAAAAATACATTATTATTATGTAACATGTATCTGATTATAAAGGTAAAGTCGAGATAATAGAAAGAGAACTGAAGTATAAGAATAAAATTGCTAATATCCAATATCCCAATTTTGTTTAATGTATCGTCTAATAAGTGTACTCCACTCACTAGTAAACGAACTTTTCTATTGGTAGAAATGAAATGAAATGGGGTTTAACGTTCTACTATTCTGCTCCGAACTGGGCTAATGAAGACGGGCATACGCCATACAGTGTGCTATAAGGACAATTTTGCCCGGACAGCGGCACTACGGCCTACTCTTATATCGAATTCCATCTGTCAAGGGATCTTTTACGTGCACGTCAATGTGTACAATGTAGACAGCTGCCCTTGTCAGACCCTCCGTCCTGCATCACTGACAAGGGGGGAATCACGTCGGAAAATCTGGATGAACTCTCTCGGCCAATGCAGGGATCGAACACCCGACCTCCAGGCTAGCGAACCAGCGTCTTACCCATTTAACCACCGTGACCCCCTGTATTGGTAGACCATGAATTGATTGCCCTTTGGGTTCCAAGGTACAGTACATGCGATCGGTCACATTTAGTTAATACAAAGCACCAACTACTGTGCGTTAGATCACAAGGTCTGTCAGTGGTGTGGTTTCGATGACAAATAGTGGGGTCGCCTGTCTAACCTCGTGGGTACGCGCAAACCAATTATTGAAATCCAATAGGACCATTATGTTAGTTCCGAAATGGCCTAGTATGGAAGTTAAACCCCCATTTCTCTTTTTAAAACATTATCGTTTCTATACATTAAAGCATGTTCATTTGAAATGTATGAAATTAGATATTATATAGATCTAATCTATGTATTTCTGATTAGTCATAACCAGGTCATTAATATTGTAAACAACCGGACGCGGTTTAATAACATGCAATTATCTCAACTTCCTTCTATTGAATTTTAAACGCATTTAACCAAATATGTCCCGAATATTCTAGTGCATTCTAGTATTACAGATTTAAAGAGATTTATAGAATATTTATTACAAGTCAATCCATAGCTTTGCAGTATCTCTATATTTTGTCCAGCTTGTGCTCTGGAGAAAAGAGGTTTATGAAATCCATAATTGATTACACATTAAAACCTTAAGGTAACGACGCGTGAGTTTCGTTTTTTTCGGAAAATATCAATTTTCTACGCTAATATGTACTCAAATTAATAATTTAACTAAGAACACAAATTCAGAATACCAACGCTAGATAATCTTCCGGATTGGATTCAATTGGATTTAAAACAGGCCCATCAACTGGTTTACAGCAAATAAAGATGGTGGCTGTTTTTTTACACGTTGAGAAGAATGTTCAATTCGTCATATCTCTGTAAACGTTGTACGGAATTGATCCATTTTTGGATTGATCTCCCTATTAGAGTTTCAACTTACACAATATTAGAGAGATAAAATCTAGCATAAAGTCTTTAATAATTGTCCATTTACAAAAGTTCATTAAAGAAATGAAATGAAATGAAATGGGGTTTAACGTCCTACTGTTCTGCTCCTAACCTGGGGTAATGAAGACGGGCATACGCCATACAGTGTGCTATGAGGGAAATTTTCCCCGGGCAGCGGCGCTACGGCCTACTCTTATATCGAATTCCAACTGCCAAGGGATCTTTTACGTGCACGCCAATGTGTACACGGGACCTCGGTTTTTCGTTCCATCCGAACGACTAGACAGCTGTCCTTGTCAGGCCCTCCATCCTGCATCACAGACAAGGGGAACCACGCCGGAAAATCTGAATGAACTTTCTCTGGCAATGCAGGGATCGAACACCCGACCTCCAGGCTAGTGAGTCATCGTCTTACCCACTTAGCCACGTGATCCCCAAGTTTCTTTAAGATAGATTTTGTTAATTGTGTAAAACATAAGCACTTTGTTCAAAAGTTCGAGTGGGATGGTTGCTAATAATCAAAGAAAAAAAACCAACCTCTTTAAACAAAGGAATTCTCCCAAAACGATGAGTTCTCTGTTAACTGCTTTTGTCACGTGTGTTCTCTAGACATTATAATATAAGTATACCGATTAGGGAAGTAATACTAGTGTAGAATAGTCGAGATTGCTGAACTGGTAAGTACATATTATTTAGTCATTTATACCCCACTAAAACAAATGGTCATCGTGGAAACTAGCGGGTTGTGTTATATTAATACGATTTCTTATGTTGTATTTTATTTTATAGAATATTTAAAAGAACTCAATCGGGCAATAACATAATCGGTATTGTCCGTTCACACTTATTTGTATACTCTCCCCAGATTTCATTTGTTGACCGAATTCCTTGATAGTTTGCAGAGGGTACAGATGATCCCCAGCGATTTGAGCAGTTTCATTTCCCATGCATTAAATGTGCGGTTGTGGTGGTGGTGGGGGCGTGTGTAGGGGATGAGAGGGGACACACTTCTTTTTTTCCCTAATATCCCCGCAGACCGAGATGGCGCCCTTACTGCGCGGGTACGGCGACGGAAAATAGTCTCAGAGCGCGTCACGATCCTACCTGGAAAGCTGTGAGAACGCGATTTTTTTCAAGTTTTTAATTTCTTTGGACATTCTCTCGCGTTGTATTCACGTACGATCGCAGTAGCACAGTAAGGACGCCACCTCGGTCTGACGGAGGCCATTCTCTAATTATTCGGCCTGGACAATTTTATTTGTGTCTGTTTTGCTGCAAAAAAATAGTCTAATCGGGGGTATGTGTCGTTTCCAGACAAAATCTCGAGAACCATTCAATATTTATATGCGCAACACCAATGTATACCGAAGTTGTGCCTTTTACTATTTACTTTAGGGACTTTTTTATTTTTGGGTATAAACTTTTGAGTTTTATGATCTCGAGATGGGTGTTGTTTCCGATCTCAGAAACAATTTAGTATTTCATTACAAAACTTTTAACTGAAGCGAAGCGAGATTGCGGCCATTGGTTGTTAACGCGAAGGCACGACGGTGCGAAGAGGCAGTTATCGGCTTCCATACACACCAAATGTTCAAGAGAAGATCTTTAAAGTGCTCATTTAACTGCTCCGATCCAGCATTGACCTATACAAGCACGTCCATAAATAATGATGTATTGAGGGAAAAAAATAAGTTAAAGAGTCTAGCAGAAATATTTAGATTGTCAGTTGTTACGAAAATTAAGAACGGTTTACTTTTCAATTTGATATTTATTAATCATCCAGTAAATATATTTCTTTGTGAAACTTTCTACAACAACCGCGTACTGAAGAAATACTTGAATACAAGTTGGATACAATCTTTGGGTGGAGTGGACGTTTCCCCGGAGTAGATATAAAAAGAAAATATTCAATAGTTTCCGAAACATTATACATACAACAACCAATCGTCTTTCCAGTTTTATTTCCATTGCAGAACTCGAGAAATATTACTTATACATTTATTTCCACGAAACTCTATACACATACTATCTTTGTGACGTACTAGACTTTATTTATATTGTTCTATTTTAGCTGTGTATCTTGAATTGAATCATGCGGGCTTTAGTACTGTTGTTTCTCATAGACTGCGCTGTAGCTGCAACAATTCGACCTATTCAAGCTGTTACAACACAGAGAGCAGGTAAGCAATTAAATTGAACACCAAAGTGCGATTAAAGATGCATTATGTAAGATTTAGATAAAGAGCTGACAATTCAAAAATAGATAATGAAAATGAATATATTAAAAATTTCAGTCATATTACTTCCTTATGTTAAAGCGTAGATTGTTTATTCTCGTAGCAATGATATTTGACAACCGAGGCAAAGTCTTGATTATATATTTTTTTCGTTAAACTTTTAAATCGGAGCCATTCGATGGTTTAGAGCAGGGGTGTCAAACATGCGGCCAGGATGCCAGATCCGACCCGCCAAAGGTTTAAATGTTGCCCGTGGAACAAATTTCAACAAACTGTCGTGTCGATAATTCTTAGAAACTAGCGGTGAAAATCATTTATTATTGTTTTCCGGTTTTATTAAAACTCTGACTTCTGTACTGTGTGTCATAAATATCTTAAGTTATATGTAATACAAGAGAACATCGTGTATAATATGTAACGATTTTAGTCAAATAAATCAATAAAATTTTCTTTATCTTGATATTTTTGTCGGCCCACTTGATTTAAAATTTTAGTTCATGTGGTCCCTGAATCGAAATGAGTTTGACACCCTTGGATTAGAGAGTTGATAATGGGTGTATCATGTTAAAAGATGTTCACATAATAATTTGTATAACATTTGTATAAGCCAGAAAAAAGACTTACAAAAGGATGATTTTGCCCTTGCATAAATGTTTCATTAAGTTAAGAACTTAGATCGTCGAAACAAAGTGTAAAGTAATATCTTCAACTCGAGTGTATAGAATACAATTTCCAAAAACTTCAAACGAATGAAGACGCATAAGGGGGGGGGGGGGGGTGATTGATGATTGGAGAGCCATAGTGGATTATTGACTAACAAGGTGTCGGCCTTAATAACCAGGATATCCAGGGCACGATCCTGGTGTCGACTGGAGAAAGCGGTGCAGGTCTGGGACTTGGTAAGGAACAGCGTATAGTTGTTAGGATGGTACGAAAAAAAAACGGGGTCAAGTGTACAAAATCTGTCAAAGAACATTTGTTGACTTACGCTAATCTTCATTAGAGAGAGAGAGAGAGAGTGAGTTTGGGTTTAACCTCCACATTGCCGACTATGTAATGGAGAGGCATATGGAGTCATTCGTATGGTTACCTTTCATATTTTCGTTCTAATTCTTAGGTATCATGGGTGTAAGTAGGATTGTATTTCATTCATAATTAACCATAAAGAAATGAAATGGGCTTAATGTCCAACTTTACCGTCCAAACGTCCAACTTTCTGCTCCAACCGAGCAGAGAGAGAGAGAGAGAGAGAGAGAGAGTGGGGTTTAATGTCCACTCGACACAACCTAAGTCCTTTGGGGAGTAACGTGTGGATTTCAATAGCAGAGGGTAGAAACCGAGGTACTCGGAAAAATCCCACGAAGTTGGACAGGCGACCCTACTTCTTCTCACGTACAACCGGAAAATTTAAATGTTGTGTTGTGGCGTAAAAGTAGGGATAGTTGTATCACTATGGTAACCCAAAACGTTAATCAGTTACTCATCCTTGATTTCATACTAACACCTTTGACTGAAAAGAATGAAAAAAAATAACTCAACGGATAAAGCGCGCACATTTTAGTCAAAATATAACCGATGATGAAATGATTCTTCTGTTCCCATTCCCAGATCCACCACCGTCTGATGGTTTACCATGTTCTATTTTCTATGATTTCCAAGCTTGATTGTTTGTGTTGTGGTTCAGTGAGTAGGATGCTGGCTTGCTAACCAGGAGGTCTCGGGTTCGCTCTTGGTATTGGCCGAGACAGTTCCTCGGTATTTTCCGACACGGTTTTCACCCTGTTAGTGGTGCAAGACAGAGGCCCTGGCAAGAACAGTGTCTAGTCGTTCGGGTAAGACGAATAACCGAGTTCTCTTGTACACGTTGCCGTGCGTGTAAAAGAATCCTTAATAGTTGGAATTCGACATGGGAGTAGGACATAGCGCCGCTGTCTGAGCAAAAACGCCCCCACCGCACATTGTATAGCGTACGAGTATGTCCGTCGGTGCAGAAAAGTGGGACTTAAACCCAATTTCATTTCATTTCTGTTACTGATTGTGTGGTGCGGTGACCCTGAACTTACCATTAGACAAGGATTACTTATATTGTGCTTTGGGATTACTTTATTGTTTGTTATTTTACTCCTTCGGTCAGCCGGGGTAGATTGTGGGTATAACTATTTCAGAATTTATTTGCCTTCTATTTTCAGACCAACGCTGTAGCAGTGGGGATGACTGTGAACATGTATATTTTATAAGCTACATAAACAATGTACCATACTGCTGTCCACATGGAAATGGAATTATGAGGTCTGCTTCTAACTATGTAAATGGTCAAGAAATCATCGAATGTTTCTGCAACACAGAGGAAGTGCATCAACCAGATAGACATGATAGACATTATTATGACCATGGACACCACTGGAGACACTGGCGTGACAGGTGGCTGTCGTTGGATAGGTATATCAGAGACAGGATAGTAGACGTAGGCAACTTATTTCGTGAACGTCCATTTACTGGTTGGTCGAAGTAATTATTGAAAGTCCATTTGGGATTATGGTGACACACTATTTGTTTAAAATTGTCATACCTTCAAAGAAACAATTTTGAAGCATTGTTTAAAATAAAACTTTAAATTTTTTTATCCAAGTGACATGCGTTAATTATATGATATACACGGTTATATTTGCAGCGCTTTAAAATAAATAATTGTCTTTGCATCGATGTAATCTTTGTCTTCTATTATTCCTCTAATGTCAACTATTACTCAACGATTAAACCTGATAAAATGATTTTATTGTGGTTTAGTTGGGTTTTTTTTTTATTTTTTTTTATCGAAAATCCTTTACAAAAACGCTAAAAGCAGGATGCTGAAATTTAGCATGAAATATCTTCAGATAAAGTTTAATCTAGTTTGTTTACAACAAGAGGCCGTCTTGAACATCCTATCTACAGGTTTAGGGATTTTTGTTAAATGTCCCAATTATTCTCAATGTTGGAAATATCTTGCACAATGGGACACAGTACATATACGTAGGCGAATGGTCGGGCAATGGCCTTTCGACTAGAATATGCCGAGCTTGAGCCGCAGCGTCGGGCAAAACGAACCTTTGGGATTTGTCACGCCCAATTTTCTTTTTACATCAACCACGCCCGTGACATAATATGGAATAATTAGATATTTTTCATAAAGCTTTGAAAGTCACAGATTTATTTCAGACAGGTCCGGTAATTAAGGCAAAAAGACATGCGAACAAAGCTTATGCATGAAGCTCAGTTTAAATTCGTACTAGAGTTGAATACTCTAAAATATCAAGATGGGGTAGCTAGATCATAAATTAGGTGGCGCAGGAAAAATAAAACACTTTTGATAGGTTTTATTTTTTAGCTTTTAAAGATACATTATGTAAGATTTAGATAAAGAACTAGCCATTCTTGCTATAATAGTTCGAAAGTAGATGATGTAAAATGAATAATTTGAAAAGTTCATTCAAATTACTCTATTGCAAGCGAAGATATTAGCCTTTGAAAGTTTGACAGACGTGTTCAATAATTTCAACTACCGTACTGGTTGATCGAAGCTAAATCTCGGTCCTCCATATGTGATTAAATCAAAATTTGGCTGAACCATTCTTATCTATTAAATATGGGAGAAATCTGATGCCATCGAGAGTTGATTAAGGCCTGGATCAGTTAATTTATGTCTAATTAATAATTTAGAAAACATTTCAGGCCTAAAGAAAGACCCGCAATAGGCAGATTTAGCTCTTGCATAATGCATGTTTAAACAACTGTCTGCTGGACGTTAATTTGTCTGTTGCTGCTAATTATGTGCGGTCTTTATGGCTTTGTCTTTAAAATTACTAAAAAAAATGCCAGACCTTCAGTTTCAAGCAAAGTCCTCCGTAGTATACGGGGTTAACCCCCCACCCCACCCCCGACCATCACCACCACCACCAGAATGTGATCAGGAAAATTCTGGTGCGCTTGCGTTAATAATAATGTTCATCTCGTTCGAGATAAGTGACTGTACCAAAAGTAACGAAAGATAAACAATCAATAAAAGAGATATAATCATTGATTGATGATAACAAAGAAATGATAACAAACTCTATTCTAACAACACTAAAACGTCGGTCTATCGAATATGTCTGCTTTTAGCTACGGTTGGGGGCTATTCATTTACCATTGAAATCGTGGAAATGTAAGTGTGTCATTCAATTATAAAAGTTCAGCAAATAATGTGCATTAACTTTGTCTAATAGCGAATTTTCGGATCACGGAGAACCATGTCCAATTGACACTTTTCAAAGTATCCGGCACCTTTTACGCTAGTATCAAATGCGATTTCTTTACAAATTTAGAATGGCAATTTGGACATAAAATGCGCATCATTGTTTGGAGGATATGTTTTGTAATTATTGCGCAAATACAGCTGTGCCAGAATCTTCTAATGGCCTTGGGTAGTGTTATCATTACGCACTTAGGTGAATCACGACAGCTGTGACACAATCTGCTGGTGACATGGGTAGTGCAACCATTGCGCGAACGGTAATGTTATCATTTCTGGTATCAACCCCGCTTAAAGTAGCTAAAATATCATCCAAAGTCTTCGACATTGAAAACACGAATTATTTGTCAATTTAAATCAACATTGATGTTGTAATCTTACCGGGAAAAGATGGGTTTCTGATAACCAATATTTAAGACAAAATAAACATTTTACCATTGGTACACGAATCGTATACCATAATGCGTTTCATGCCCATTTTTAACAAGGGACCCCAAGAACGAGTCTAGACATATTCCACAAGTCATGTCAAACGGTGACGACATATTCATATCTGAAAAGTATGCGCAATAAATACTATGTAGACTAGAATAACCAGACGCTAGAGATTGACATTCGATTGAGACTTCTGGCGTATTTCGCCGAACATATCTGATTTGAAATTAGAGTAAAAACGGAAACGATTGAATCTAAATCAGTTAAACGTCCAACAGATTTTAGATACATCACTCCAAAATCAAAATGGTCAAATGACACAAAAATCCACACAGCGATACAATAATTATTTTATGTAATATAGAATTATTCAAGATTTGAGATAATCTACTAAATAACGTAAAGTGGAATCAACGGCTTTCCAACAAATAAACAATTTCCTCCAGTTCTAAAGAGAAACACATTGAGACTGTATTGGATTGTAAGTGAAATAAGTTTTAAACGAATGGCAAATGCCCAAAGGCGTGTGTTATTTATAATTTTGAATGAGGAAAGGGAATAATAAAATTTCGACTCCGTCCACAACAACCTCGTGGATTCCAGCGACCTTTGTCAAATTGCTGTCACGAACGGGCACAAATGAATTGTCCACAAGTCTAGAAGAGCATAGAGTAGAGAATGCGTATCATGGGAAATGGATTGAAATGTGGTTAAAGGGTTTTTTTTGTGTTACACCAACTGGGCTGATGATAACGGGCATACGCCATACAGTGTACTGTGAGGGGCATTTTGCTCGAATAAAGGCGTACTCCTATTCCGAATTCCAACTGTCAAGCGTTATTTTACATGAACGACAATGTTTACGAGGGACCCGGTGTTTTGTCCCATCCGAACGACTATACGTTGTCCCTTCCCACTAACAAGGGGGAACCACGCAGGAAATTCCTAAGAACATTCTCATCCAACACCAATATTGAACACGGGACCTCCAGGTTATTGAGTCAACGTATTACATACTGATCCACCACGGCTCCCATGCACCATGGGAACCACGGTCGTTCATTCAGTTATCTCATGTAGTAATCACAGATTCTCTTTAAAATCTCATGTCCCTCAATTATTGATCATGCATGTATAGTATACATAATAGTAAATACGAATATTTCGTCCAACTATAACGTTTATAAATTAATAAAGCAGATATTGATTTTTATTTAAAATTTTATAACATTGTTATAAACAAATGTGCAGTGCATGTGCAGTGCATACCCGGAAGAAAATTAAAAGTTACTAACACCTAAGATAAGTTATTAATTTCAACGTGTGACAAAGTAATCAATGACAGACAACCAAACCTTATTATAGTGGTTTTAGCACTATAAAATATTATAATATACATTGACAGTTCATATTATAATATTTGATATTAAGAACTCACTGTTCATCTGAATCAAGTACCAAAGGTAAGAATTATATTAAGATATTTAAAGTGTTTTGCATTGTACGATTTAGACAATGTATGAAAGAAAGTCTAGGCGAATCCCAATAATATTATGTGGGCATGTTGTTTGCGCAAGATATTAAAAGAAATTAGACAAACGTCCAAATCTGACTTAACTGAAAAGATGGTCGGCGGTTGAAGCACGTAATCGAAAGAAGATATGTCTTACGCAATCAATGAATGATTGTTCTGCAATTCGAGATTTATTTATTGTGTGAGTTGTGTCAACCTGCTCAAATAATACGAAAAAGTCTGCAAAACAGAATTAAATGTATGTTAACTCGTGACATTTAACCTTCAATCAAAACGTGATGCGTGTGCCTATCTTTAATTTCTAATTCTGATTTGTTTAGATCAATGACCATGTATGGGGTTCTGTTTGTACTAATGGTTGGTCTTGTAACTTCAGCAGTGATAACAACTGATGATAATAACAAAACAGGTAGTATTTTTTGGTTCATAATCTCAAGTACCTATGGATTCATGTATAATGCCAACATTTCCGGGTTACGGTAGCTGGGTAAATAAGGCTTTGGCTCACTAAACATGGGGTTCCAATGCTGGCAACGGATGTTCCTCGGGGTTTTCAAGCCTGGTTTTCCATTGTCAGGGCGGTTGGTCTGGCAAGGAAAAGTGTCTAGTCGTTGGGGTGGGACGATATACATAATGTACAGATTGACGTGTGCGTAAAAGTATTCTTGTCACTGCCAGGGAAAATGTTCTCTTATAGCACACTGTATGGTGCATGGTCGTATTCATTAGCTTTGTTGGTGCAGAAAAACAGGACGTTAAACCCATTTCATTTCATTTCCAAACCTCTACTTTTACTACAGCTATCAATATTATCATATTTTAGGCTTTCAGTCGATGGCAGTCCGCGAATAATTTAAAGCGTACACAAATGGAAATTTTCAGTGTGTAATTTATATGTAATAGCAATGGTATTCTGATTATTAAAAAAACACCTGTATTAACATTAGCCTCAAATTTACAACGAGTTGCAAAAACAAAAACATATGAAACGGTGGACATATATCTATATTTCAAAATCCATGGATAAATTTAATACTTGTTGATTTTATAAATTAGCTACACTGTGACATCATAAATTATATAGACGTTAATGTGGTAACAATTATGCAGAGGTTCAAGACGAATCACGAAACGACATAGGACTTCTCTTTTGCTCCACAATGTATACACATTTGAAATATTCAGTAATTCATACATTATACATAAATGTTGGTAATATAAGTATACAAAGGTTCAGAACAATCCATGAAAAACAGCAAGGTTTTGATTTCACGAAGTCATAAACCATAGAGGTTACTCGCGTATAAATGCCTGTCAAATTTAGATCTGTATTTTAATCGGAATGTGTAGGTCATAGTTACATTTTGTCCCAGAGTTTTTCTCGATTTTATGATTAAAAGAGTCTAGTTAATCTCTTTAGCACAACAGAGTTTATTATCAAAACTGATTCAAGGTAGTTAGATGAGTAACTGTTTCTGTCTTTCAGAACAACTGTGCATCAAAGGAGACGAGTGTAAGGGCCAGGCCAACGGGAATTCTTTTATTGCGATAGGTGATATTAGATATTGCTGTCCTGTAAGACAAAATCTTTCATCTTCGGTATCTATTGATGGTAACATGGGTGATATAAAATGCACATGTGCCTATGGCGAACTGGTGGATTTTGAATGGAGCAAGATATGGGCACAATTTCAGAATAGTATGAATAATATGTTTGAAAACATGTGGCCCTTTAGTTAAAGTTGCCCGAAATAAATGAATTATAGTGCATGTTATCAGTTGTTTTATTATTGGAAGAGCTTATTCGTACGGCTGTATTTAGGGTTAGGGCAACTTTTTATTGGGCTAGAGTTAGGACAACTTTTAATCGGACACTCTATATAATAAACAAGCACGGGGTTAGGTTTAGGTTAGATTAAATACCAAAACTTACATGGTCAACTCCATCCAGACATGGGTTATCACGTGGCTAAGTGGGTAAGACGCTGGCTCGCTAGCCTGGAGGTCGGGTGTTCGATCCCTGCATTGGCCGAGAAAGTTCATCCAGATTTTCCGGCGTGGTCCCCCCTTGTCAGTGATGCAGGACGAAGGGCCTGACATGGACAGCTGTCTAGTCCTTCGGATGTGACGAAAAACCGAGGTCCGGTGTATACATTGGAATGCACGTAAAAGATCCCTTGGCAGTTGGAATTCGATATAAGAATAGGCGATAGTGCCGCTGCCCGGGCAAAATTTCCCTCATAGCACACTGTATGGCGTATGCCCTTCTTCATTAGACCAGCATAGGAGTAGAACGTTAAACCCCATTTCATTTCATTTCATTTCCATCCAGACATTGGAACAAGGCGTTGCTTTATTTGTATAGATAACGTTTAGTCCAATGAATTTTTTGGAAAAGTTAAAGACTCACAAAGTGATACGATTTAACATTATTTTAATGGGAAAATCTTTATTGGTATGTATGTGTATTAGACCCTTAGACCTAGTATCTGTAACAGAGTTATCTCCCATTTCACATAACGCATGTTGTTATCTGGTTCTGAAAGAGAACACGTTTGGAAGGGTCGACGAAATGTGTGATTAACGGAGGGATGAGAAAGGGTACTAGGTTGTATTGGGGGAGGGCGGGGTGGGGGAGTCTTTATGGGTGATGTAATATATTTTACGAATACAGCAACATGAGGATCAGTAAAACAGTTAAAAGCCCTGCTCCTCGTGGGCGTTTTTATGCAATAAAATTTACTTATTTACTTACTTACCTTTGATGAATGATTTAATAATACTCCGTATGATCTGACTCGACAATAATCCGATATAGAAATTAGTGATATAATGCATATCACAGTGCAGAGGCGTGTGATATTTCAGTGGTAAAGAAATTCAATGCCGTTATAATCTCTTTAGATTTAAATTATTTTCGTGTCGTTGTGTTAGTATGTTTTGTTGGAAAAGTATGTAGCTCATGATTAAAGTCGCCCAACATGTCAAAATAAAGGTAAAAAAACCGAAGCCATGGTTGATCAGTAAGTAAGGTGCTTGGTTGCTAACTTGAAGGTCCCGTGTTCCATCCCGTTGTTTCGCCATGACAGTGATGTAGGACGTAGGCTCTGGCAAGGAACGAAAACCCGAGGCCCCGATTACACGCCGGCGTTCACATATACGAAAACTCGACAGTTGGAATTCGACATAATAGTATGCATAGCGCCACTGTCCGGGCAAAATTTTGCTAATTGTACACTGAACCACGAATGCTCATCCTCATTAATATGAAAAGGAACAGTATACCTTAAAACCCATTTCTTTTCATTTCATTTCGTTAAATATAGCGCGTAAGAACGACCATGCACAATCTCAATGTACAGATTTTATTGATTGTTGTTCATATATTGACATAGTTTTCAACACAATATATGTTGTGCTAATACCGTTTATAATCGTATACCCAAAACTTGAAAAATGCGCATATGGAAGTTATTGATGAGATGGAAATCAAGCTCTTTGGATGTAGGGTGACATTATTCTCAGTATCCCCAGTGGTCTCATTCTGTTCTACTTCACTATACCCTGGGTTCATCCATGGGGGAGACACGTATTCAAATTATATGCCCTTGTTCGTAGCTGGATTCTACGAACCAAACAAAAACAGTTTACAAACCAATCTTAGCCTCATTGTTTATGTTCACAACAGTGCGGCTGCGTGTTCGCTCGTTTATAAGAAAGTTTGCAAGAAATGTAATATAAAAGAAGTGACATGCCCACAAACAGAGAAAGATGTGTTTAATTCCGTCAAAATAGGCAGTTGTAGGTCGTTACGGTATCAAGCGTAATGTCAGATAATTTGAATATGTGTCTCCCCCATGGATGAAGCCAGGGGTTAATGGAAAGGAACGGAATGAGACCACTGGTGTTCCTTTGTCAAGTGTGCAGGGCGGAGGCCTGGCAAAGAAAGGGCGTTAAGGCGTTCAGGTGGGAAATTCGAATAAAACTAGATGGAATCTCTCTTGTACAGCCTCAATTTCTCTGATATCACACTGCCTGGCATGAGGCAGTCTGTACTGGCTGTGTTGGACATTCTAAAAAACACATTTCTATTAGTTTTATTTATTATGACGCTAAATTATGAGCTTATTTCAAGGGTACATGCGATACCGAAGATGTTTACGGACAATTATATCAAGTATTTACAGAAATATTCTTGACCACTCGTCTACTCAGTATATCTTCGTGAATACCACAGACACGTCACTGGTCTTTGAAGATAAGAATAGCCCTACTAAAGTCTATGATTATTTACTGTTACTGATGGTTAATCGATGAGCTGGTCGCTGCTGACCAGTGGACAGATTGTCAGAATTCAAGAACCATGCTGTGTATATAGTATAGAGTGACGTATGTCCTGTCCAAATCGCTCGAATACCCGGTGATTTAACAGATGATACAATGGATAGCGACATTTCCCCTCAAAAGACCATCTTGTAGATCACGCTATATCCATGCAATCGTAGTGTCCCGAATGTCACAACACAAATACCAGACAAACATGGATTCTTGTCGGCTGTTGTTTACAATTACAAGCCCGCGATTGATGAAACACGAATAAAAGTCAAGAGATATTCTACGGGGAAAATGCGCTGTTCGTGAACTGTTGAAAATAAACCACAAGCTCCGGTGAAAAAAAGCTCGAATGATCAGTATTCCAATTCCGATTATTAACTATTGGTAATTTTTTAACTTTTGTTTCCGACTGAATTCACATAATATTCAGCGTGGAATATAAAATTCCAGTGTCAGTAATTTGTGCGCACGGTTTAAAGGGTGTGAGCCACATTTTAAAAGGTACGCTCATAAACTCTAACTTTACTAAAGGGGTCTATATCAGGATGAAGGTAACACTGTAAACTTTAACTAATTCTGCTTGTCACGGATGGACATAAATATTGTCTGGATAATTGAAACTATATTCATTAGCATCTGTACAGACTACAAACTAAACCTCTACATGAAATTGGGTTTAACGTCCTACTATTATACTCCCATTGGGCTAATAAAGACGGGTAACCTTATACATAAAGCTAGGGAAACGTGGTGACCCCATATCAACCACAGAGAAGCATTCGAAACAAAATTAATTGAACACATGCATTTAATGCAGGTAGAATATCTGCCAATATCCCTTTAATTATACTATATCGACCTTCACTTGTTTTTATGAAATTTTTCAAACTGTGCATTCTTCTATTTACTACATCAAAGGAAATCTATTACAATATTTCTTTTCATCGAAAGTCTTTTTTAGAGGTCATCTAATTACTCTCTTGCTAAATTCTATTAAGATATTAGAGAAATTGATTTTCTTCTAATAGTGCCCACCGGTGGGATACCAAAATAATAGTGTTATTTCTTGAATTATATCATTCCTAGAGGCAAGAGTTACATAGTTATTGTAACACAATTGAAGTTTTAACCTAAAGTGGCAGAATAGGTCCCGTGGGCTGGTAATAATTCAAGATATTTCTTTTCTCCTGACAAGTTGAGGGATGGGTTGGAATTTCGTTAATTGACGCCAAGCATAGTGTTAGCGCTGTACATGTTACCGCTGGGAAACTCTGTTTCAGGCATGAAAATCATACAGATATGTGGTAAAACCTAATTAGAGGTACCTATATTTTTTCTTCGTCAAAAAGAGTTCGTAAAACGTGTTGCGTAATCGTGTTACAAATGACATAAAGAGTGTAATTGAGAAGTAAATCTTTTGATTAAATCTCCCACTCATGTCATACTAATCCTTAATGTGGGAGAATGCTACATCAATGCATGACCTTTTTATTTTAACAAAGTAAGTAGTAATTATTAAATGAAGAAGCAGTGGGGTAATACCGATGATGTCAAGTGAAAATCACACGCTTTTTTGGTACTATTTGAGAGAGATGGAGAATAGCATATTTAGGTAAAGAATCACATACTTATAACATAAAGCGTCCACATCCCAAAACTCTCCGAATTCCCACATGCCCCAGGGGTTCAGATTCCTCAAAACAAATGACCTGTGTCAATATCGATTTACATGTCTATTGAGTAAGGTATTGGCTCTTTAACCAAGAGATCCGCGGTTAGTTCCCGGTGTTCCTCAGTATTCTCCACCGTGGTTCCCCTTGTCTGTGGTGCAAGTCGGGTGCCTGGCAAGGAACAACGTCTAGTTATTCGGATGAGAAGAAAACGAAAATCTAGGCCCGTGTTCATGTTGGCGTGCACGTAAAAGAACCCTTGATAGTTGGTTTTTCAATTAAGGGTAGAACGTAGCGCTGCTACTCAGTACACTGCATGCCGTACAGTCTTCATTAGCCTGATTATACAGTGCAGAAAAGTAGGACGTTAAACCATATTTCATTTTATTTTGTTGCCCACTGGCGTTTTCCACAAATATATACTTGTATAAGGTGTAAGGGGATGTTATGTATGAAATGTTTAAGGCATTTATTATTATTATTATTATTATTCGACAAACTTCAATAGAAAATGATAGTTGGATTTACTATCATATACTCTTCAAAAAAAGTAGGGGATATTCGGAAACAATACAAAACTGCGGAAATGCACTGGCGTTTTTATTAGAGGTAACGAGTGTATGTTAATAACAGGCCAATTGCTTACACATGAACATAAACAGTTCATATGGGCGGCTTATCTGACGGCCCCATTTCACTCGCAAAGTCAAAAGTGAAAATGGACGTTTTTGATTTTTGTTTTAATAATGAGTAATTGCTCCACCA